TCTTCTTGTTCCCACTATAACACGGCCACTGGCTCCTCTTTGTCTCTGCTCCCAGTATGACCCTACGAGCCAACGGATATTAGGAAGAAAAACAGAAGTTGCTGGAAAAGCTCAGCAGGTCTGGCAGCATCTTTGAAGAGAAATCAGAGTTAATGTTTCGCATCCGGTGAACCTCAGATGAGTTCTGTGGAGCAGGAGCATGCCGAAACAATGGGTCTGTCCAGACAGTCCTGTCTGTGGATTTTTGGAAGGAGGTAGAAGTGAGCTGTGCAGGGGCTGGGGGATAATCAGCTTGGAGGCAGTGGACGGGGGAGGTCACCAGATGAAATGAGGTCAGTAACCGTAGTTGATACAATGGCCTGATGCGTCATGGTGGGGTCATTGTCCAGAGGAAGGTAGGAGGAGGTATTTAAGAGCTGGTGCTCAGCCTCTGCAAGGTAGAGTTCAGTACGCCAGACTACAACAGCACCCTCCTTATCGGCAGGCTTAATAACAATGTCAGGGTTGGATCTAAGCGCACGGGGTGCAGTCAGTTCAGAGGGAGATAGGTTGGATTTGGTGAGGGGGGGAGGGAAGAGAAATTGAGGTGACTAATATTACATTGACAGTTCTCAATGAACTGATCAAGTGCAGGTAAAAGGCCAGAGGGAGGGGTCCAGGTGGAGGGAGAGTGTTGGAACTGGGCGAAGGGGTCTGTGGGAGGGGGAGAGGACTTTTCTCCAAAGTAATGGGCATGGAGCCGAAGATGGCGGAAGAAGAGCTTGACATCATATCATGCCTGAAATTTGTTAGGTTAGGGACGCAAAGAAATAAAGCTGAGGCCTTTGTTGAGTACAAAACGTTCAGCATCAGAGAGTGGAAGGTTAGGAGAGATGGTGAATACCTGACAGGAGGTGGGGTTGGGGGAGGGGATTGAGTCAGAGGGAAGGGGAGGACAAGAAGTTTCTGGGGGCCATGAATATCTTTGAGTTGTTCCACCTTGTGGGCCTTGATGCCTGAAAGGAAAAGAAAGTTTCTTGCTAGCGCGGTGAATGAGCCGAAGGATGAAGTGGAATGACAGAGTGGTTCAGCCCTTAGCCAGCGTGATGTGACGTTGTTGGAGAGAGAAGTTGGGTGTGTGCATGTGGTGCCGCACGGCACTGAGTGTGGATCTCAGGACGCGGTGAGAGCAGCTGTCCATGGAACATTGAACATCACGGAGATATCTGTGATCCTGGGAGGATTCAAAACATGAGGGATGAAACTTCAGTTGGAATCCATGTGAGGTGAGTCTGAGCTGAAGGCAGTCACGAAGGAATCTGTAGAAATGAGTTTTAGCAAATACCTAGTCGAACACTAGGAGTGACAGTGAAATTAATGTCGGTGGACAAGAAGAAAGATTGGAATGGAAATCCCATCGGAGAGAAGAGCAGAACTTCTTCAAGCTATTAGGAAGATTCAGGCCAATGATTATTGAAGGTGGCATGGAGCTGAGCACCGAGGCCTTATTTGATTGTGAAAATCATTGTGAAATTCATTCCCCTCTGTCTCACAGATGTTAGAAATTAGACAGACTGTTTCATAAATGCATACATTAGCATTGAACTTTTCTCAATGTCAGCAAAAAGCAAGAGAACATAATAAGTAGGAGCAGTACCATTCAGTCCTTTGAACATGCTATACCGATCAATAAAATGATTGCCCATCTTCAGCCTCAATTTTACTTTCTGGCCCACTCTCCATTATGCCTTGATTCCCTGAGACCAAAGATCGATCTATATCAAATTTCAACAATGGTACATTCAACCTCCACTCTCCTGTCCCAGGGTAAACAATTGCAAAGACTCACAAGCCTTGCAGTGAAGGAATTTCTCAGTCCTGAATTATCTAAAGTTGATATATCTTTGCTGAGGTACAGGGACTTGAACTGTACACAGTCCTCCAGGTGTGAACTTACCACAACCCTATACAACTGGAAGAAGAACACAACCCTCTTCTACTTTATTTTTTTTACAGCAAAACCAAGAATATTATTTTACTTCCTTATTTCTTACTGCAGCACTGTAAAAACCAACAAAAACTTACAATTTATCTTGTTGGTCCACAAAATTATCATTTCCTCTGTTGGCCAATTCACTCACTTACAGCCCCATTCAAGTTATAGTCAGACTCACTGTGGAGCCTTTGAGGATCAGTTTCCCACAGTCTGACCTAAAAATAAAAGACAGGGACAAACAGTCAAAATAAGGACCAACCCCTTAAAATTTGTTATAGTTGATTTTGATTACCTTTATCCACTTGATAACAAACCTCCTCCAAACAAACTTTACACTTTCAAGAACAAGACCCCTAACTGTTCACGTAATTTAAATCTCCTCTTGAGAAAGACACTCTGCAAAAGTTTCTTTATAAATGTCGAGTACAGATCACTAAATTAACTGTGCACGGTATCTCTGCAGCTGGCTGTATTGTCCATGTGAATTTGGACAGGAAATATAAGCATGCTCCATCATTCAATAAGCTAATGGTTGCAGATATTTGTGTTTCAAATTCCACAGTCCCATCTCCTGCTGGCAACCTTTGATTCATTTTCCTAACAAGAACCTTTCCCATCCACTAACTTTTGAAACACAGAGTTCCGAAATTGCACTACCCTCAGAGAAAAACTACTGTCATCTCTGTCTTAAGCTGGCGATCCTAAATTCAAAATAATGCTCTTAGTTCTGTACTGATCCATATGAGAAAGAAAAAGCAAAATATTGCAGATGCTGGAAATCTGAAATAAAAAGTAGAAAGTGCTGGTGAAACTCCTCAGGTTCAGTTCAAGCAGAGTATATCAGACTTGGAAGTTTTTTCACAGGGAAGGAAAATGGAATGCTGACCTTTGTTTCAAAGTATAAAAGTACTTAACTATGGAAAGATATATTCACATTGACAGCTCAGAGCAGTTTCACTCGGCCAATATCAAGTATGGAAGGACAGTCTTATGAGCTGTTGAGTAGGTTGGGCCTGTACTCGTTGGAATTCAGAAGAATGAGAGATGGCCTTATTGAAACATACAAGATTCTTATGGGACTTAACAACGTAGATGTGGAAAGGTTGTTTCCCCTTGAGGGAGAGTCAAAAACCAGAGGGCATACTGTCAAAATAAGGGCTGTACATTTAAGACAGAGATGAGGAGGAATTTCTTCTCTGAGCTGAGGGAGTCTGTGGAATTCTTTACTGCAGAGGGCTGTTGAGGCTGGGACATTAACTGTATTCAAGCCTAAGATTTTTAAGGGTTTTAATCAGTAAGTGGATCAAACATTATGGGGAAAAGGCAGGAAAATGGAGTTGAGGATTATCAGTTCGGCCACTATCCCACTGAATGGCAGAACAGACTCGATGGGCTGAATGGCCTACTTCTGCTTGAAAAACGTTAAGTTCTTTTATGTAAATGTTATTTCCACATTCACCTTGTCAACACTATTCTGGATTTTACACACTTCAAACAAAATTCTACACGGGAATAAGTCAAATTTTGACGATATTAGGCAGGAACTTTCAAAAGCTGATTGGGAGAGGCTGTTCACAGGTAAAAGGATGGCTGGAAGGTGGGAGGCCTTCAAAAATGAGATAATGGGAGTTCAGAGACAGTGTGTTCCTGTTAGAGTGAAAAGCAAGACTGGTAGGTGTAGGGAGTGCTGGATGACTAGAGAAATTGAGGGTCCGCTCAAGAAAAAGAGGAAGGTATATGTCAAGTATAGACAGCTGGGATCGAGTGAATCCTTAGATTTATTTATTTATTGTCACGTGTACCAAAATACAGTGAAAAACTTTGTTTACAAACAGCACAGGCAGGTTATAGTAAGCAAATGGTGTACAGATCACAAAGACTTAGAGGCATACAGGTTACTTTACACAGGGCATGCGCTAGGCGAGATCAACACTAGCAAGATCAGCGTTATTTGAGGCTACAGATTCCATTCATCAGTCTGATAACGGCCGGAAAGGAGCTGTTGATGAACCTTTTCGTGCATGTGTTCAGGCTTCTGTATCTTCTGCTTGATGGAAAAGGTGTAAGAAGTCATTATCAGGGGGTGATGGGTCTTTGATGATGTTGGCAGCCTTTCCACGGCAATGAGCTGTGTAAATGGAGTCCACGGATGAAAGGTTGGCTTTGTGATGGTGTGGGCTGTGCACACCACCTTCTGTAGTTTCCTTATGGTCCTGGGCAGAGCAGTTGCCATACCAGGCCGTTATGCACCGGTAGTATGCTTTCAATGGTGCATCTGTAGGAGTTAGTGAGGATCCTCATGGGCATGCCACATTTCCTGAGCTGCCTGAGGAAGAAAAGGCATCTGGATGGGGTACATGAATAGGAAGGATTTGGAGGGACATGGGCCAAATGCTGGATAATGGGACTAGATCAGTCTAGGACATCTGGTCAGCATGGCCAGGTTGGACTGAAGGATCTGTTTCCGTGCTGTATGACTCTATAAGTCTCCTCTTATTTTTTTGTAAACTCCAGTGAAATAACAAGGTGTAGAGCTGGAGGGACACAGCAGGCCAGGCAGCATCAGAGGAGCAGGAAAGCTGACGTTTCTGGTCTGGACACTTCTTGCCAAGTCGGTCCAATTATTCCTTATCATGCCTGATCACACCAGATATCCATTTAGCAAGCCTGCTCGGAACCGCCTGTAATGCATTTATATCCTTTACTTCAGTAATTGGAGAGGTCGACTTACCAACTCCCTGTATAAATGAATCATAACATCCTTACATTCATTAAAACAAACACAGAGTGCCGGAGAAACCGAGCAGGTATGGCAGCATCTGTGGAGAGAGAAACAGGAGTGACAAGTGGAATCCGGTGTTCAACTACCCCAGTTACATCTCATGGGTGTGTGTGTCCGTGCGTGCTTTTTACTGCTCGGGAACACCATCTGACTTGTGTGCGGGGTTGGAATAGACGAGTTCCCACCCAATCTCTGACGTTATGATCTGGGATTGGTTTGTGTCTTTCACACGTGTTACTGATCTGCAGGAGCTTAAAAAGCCGGAGGGCTGGCAGCGTGGATCGCTGAAGGGGATTTAGGGTGCAGTTGTTGTTGGAGTCTGCAATTGTAATCAGCAAGAAGAGGAAAAATGGTTGAAGCATTTCTTGGGAGTTGGAAATTGCAAACGAGCGAAAACTTCGACGAGTACATGAAAAATCTCGGTGAGGATTATGCGATTTTATTTTGGTTGGGGTAGATGTTTAGCTTGTTGATGGGCACCTCCGTCTTTGTAACTGACTCTGCTGCGGTCCCCAATCCGGGAGCAAACCGAGCGCTGCTCCACTTGCAGCTTTCCCCTCTCCAGGCACATTGTCACCGAATTGCACGGTGTGGTTTCACTCGGAGCTTGCAGTATTGTGCACATGACTGACTCAACAGAAAGCATGCCAGAAAGTGGCAGCTGATTTTTTTTTTTGTAAAACGCAGCAGAGTATTTGTATCGACTCCCTGATTTTAGCAGAAATGAATCCAGCTCATTCAGCGAGAACGCGCTCTTGTCAATTTGCCAAAAAAAATCGTGAGTGCCACTAAACGTTACATTTTTTATGTTTTCCCCCTTCTCTATTTTTAGACGTGAGTCTGGTGCAAAGGAAAATTGCTGCCACTGTAAAACCCAAGACTATCATTTCTGTGGACGGCGACGTAATCACTATAAAAACCGAGAGCGCATTTAAAAGCACAAACATCCAATTCAAGCTGGCCGAGGAATTTGATGAAACCACTGCAGACAATAGGACAACCAAGGTTTGTTGACCGATCCCCGTGCTAGCCGTTTAAAATGACTGGGTGTACGATCTCAGCGGTGAGGTGACCTTTTTTATTTCGCATTCCCAACAGACTACTGTGACATTGGAAAACGGCAAACTAGTCCAAACGCAGCGGTGGGATGGAAAAGAGACAACACTGGTTAGAGAATTGCAGGATGGCAAACTGATTTTGGTAAGAACTTCAGTGCCTTAGAATCAAACAGCATCTGCTGATAATAAAAATGTGGCGATAGATATTATTTAGGTGGCATTTTCTAGTTGTGAATGCTTGCAGTAGAATTGCTTATGGAAAGTCAAACTAAAAGGTACATTTTAATGCCAGAAACTTAAAGCAGTGGATTTTAACAAATTTACTGAAGTCATTCCTTTTTTTTTTGCAAATCAGACTTGCACCATGGGTGATGTGGTGTGCACCAGAGAATATGCGAGGGAACAGTGAGTGATGATGAACAAGGAAGATGAATTCCATTCAAAACTTCCATTTTGCTGCTTTTTCTACTGGACCTTCCTGTAGTATTATGCATCATTAGGACTGTTCTGTCTTCATGGCATTTGCTGAGTAAAGTCAACTTTGCAAGTTAATGACACTTTAACAAATATAGTGCCAGGTTGTTGTCATAACAGTTTGATTTAACTCAATACTGCTATTGCAAAAGGTTTGTTTATCTAAATAACAAATGGACAGACTGTCTGGAAAGAAAAATGCACATGTTTAGTTTTTTTAGTCTTGTATTACTTTCCAATGCATATGTTTTGGACTAAATGCATTTTTCCTCTTTAAAAAAAAAAGTGGTGTGACTATTCAAATGGTGTTTAATTATGTCTGTGTTTGTCATACTACAATGATAGCTTGCTTTACAGACTACAGATAGTCTGTTGTCTGTCTGAAATTTTGCTGTTGTATTTTCTTTGAAGGAAAGAGTGCCTTTTTCTGCAGTATTGAGACCTTTTGAAATGGTGCAGCCTTTGGATAAAGAACAGCCCTATGTACAATGAGTGCAAAGATTCAAATTTTGGCAACTATAATTAAAAAGTGTGTACTACACAAGAACAGTCTGATTCTTTTTCACTTAAACTGAGTGGCACTGACTTTATCAATGGATAGAGTGGAAAAGCTAGAATCTGTTTTTGGGAAAAATTAGATTGAGAAATGTACCTGAAGAGTTCACTTTTCATGTGTTTGCAAATTCCCTTTTCAGCTGGAAAACTGCCCAGAATTATGGCTTGCTCTTGCCAAAAGGTGAAACCAAGTATCAGTTGTTAACTGGAGCTTAGTGATGTTACTGACATTGAAATAGTAAATGATAAATGGTGGTGTTCTCCTGTCAGTAGTATTTGTCTGTCAAAAGAATCTCTTGATTAGTACAAGAACAGACAGACTTTGCATTTCTTTTAACTATCTGTTTGAAGATGGTGTAACTATATTAAATTTTGAAGGCTTCAAATTTTTCAGTATAACTTGAAAATTGTACCAACACTTAGTATCCTGGTCCTGGTTTAACAATGACTTGCATTAAGTTTCAATGCAACTTAAGACCTTTTCTATTGCTGATTTGATTTTAATCAAGTGGTAGAATTGACTTAAATGTTTCCTCCTTTTTGGAGGATCTTCACCATTTCTGAACAAATGGGGCTTAAGTCAAACATGTAGCTGTTTTAGTGAGAACTTAGTTTGCTTTCCAGACCTGTGGAACACTTGGTGATCTCTGGAAAGAACATTAATTTTATTTTTTGGCCACTGTCCTTTCTTTTGACCTGACCTATTTAACTGCTTCTCTCCAGAGTTCCAATAGCAACATTAATTGGGTTTGTGTTGACTTGAAAGTGGCTGGCACTAAAAGGTTGCAACATCTATTGTTTTTAGTTGGACAACTGCAGTTTTAATGTCAGTTCTGACCTCTCACACACTCCCTCCTCCAGTGGAGGAAGGAAACATTCCTTTTGGTTTTGACAGGATCAGTAAATTTCATAAAATATGCATGCAGTAAGGCTAGTTTACATCAACTTTTTTTAATTATACTGCCATCTTTTTTTAAAGTTCTTTTAACTGCCCTGTGCTGCAGAGAAGTTGGATTGAACAATTGGTTTCTGTGCTGTAATTGTTCTATGCTTCTAATTACAGTCCCTGCAGCCTCTTCTCAGGCAGCAAAGATTTGGCAGGTGCTGTCAGACACATGTACAGTAACTTGCTCACCAGCTCTCAGTTTGAGATCTCTCAGGACTACTTGACTCAATTTTATTACAACCCTGGTCCACCTATGGGCCCAATAAATGAGTGACTGCCCTTACCTTTATGGTAGCATTTGACTGAGCATCAAGGATATTAGCAGCTTTCCTGCTCCTCTGATGCTGCCTGGAGTGCTGTGTTCATCCAGCTTTACACCATGTTATATCAGCAACTATGAAGGTTGTGAAAATTCAAGAGAACTTTACAGGGGCTGAGTCAACAGCAGCCAATCAAACTCAGCCTGAGGTCTTCAATGTAGCAGCTTCTCCAGGGTTGTGTTCTTCAGCTAGTTCATCAATTACCTTTTTATCATAAGGTCAAACAACTACCCAAGTTTTCAATTATAATTCACAACTCAATAGTGGAAATAGCTTGTTGTAGTTTGCAACTGGCCCTGGACACTATTTGGACTAATAACCAAAGAACTTCATGCCACAGATGTGCCAGGCAAATGATCGTATTCAAAAGAAAGTCTGACTGGCAAGACAGCAACCAGTCATCATCCTATAAATGTTAAATGGCATCTCTCATCAACAACATCCTAGGGGTTATTATTAACTAGAAATTGAACTGGACCTGTACTATAAATGCTATGGCAGCAAGAGCAGGACAGAACCTAGGAATTCTGAAGTGAGTAACTTTCCTCCTGACTCCTCACAGCCTGTCCACTATCTACAGGATACAAGTAGTTTGATACGGTCCAGCACAAAACCAATTTAATTTGTGTCACATCCACCAGTTTAAACAATCACTGCCTGCACAACTGATGCCAAGTGGAAGTTTTGCATACAGAGGATGTTACCACTTTTTCAAAATCATCTTCTGATTAGTGCAGCTGCAATGATGTGAATTGATTTAAATGAGGGAACAAACTATAATATTTCCACATTTGCAGACAACGCAAAGCTTATGGGGGAGGGTGAACTGATAAGGATCCAGAGACAGAGTCATAGAGATGTACAGCAAGGAAACAGATCCTTCAGTCCAACTTGTCCATGCTGACAAGATATATTAGATAAATCTAGTGCCATTTGCCAGCATTTGGTCCATATCCCTCCAAACCCTTCCTATTCATATACACATCCAGATGCCTTTTGAATGTTGTAGCTTGTTGTAGCTTCCACCATTTCCTCTGGCAGCTCATTCCATGCACACACCACCCTCTGTGTGAAAAAATTGCCCCTTAGGTCCCTGTTAAATCTTTCCCCTCTCATCTTAAAACTATGCCCTCTAGTTTTGGACTTTCCCATTCCAGTGAAAAGACCTTGTCTATTTACCTTATCCATGCCCCTCATGGTTTTATAAACCACTGTAAGTCACCCCTCAGCCTCCGACGCTCCAGCCTATTCAGTCTCTCCCTATAGCTCAAACCCTCTAACACTTGCAACATCTTTGTAAATCTTTTTTGAACCCTTTCAAGTTTCACAAAAGCCTTCCTACAGGAGGGAGACCACAATTGCTCATAGTACTCCAAAAGTGGCCTGACCAATATCCTGTACAGCCGCAACATGACGTCCCGACTCTGACACTCAATGCACTGACCAATAAAGGCAAGCATACCAAATGCCTTCTTCAGTATCCTGTATAGCTGTGACTCCATTTTCAAGGAAATATGAACCTGCACTCAAGGTCTCTTTGTTCAGCAACACTCCCCAGGACCTTAGCATTAAATGTATAAGACTTGCCCCGATTTGCCTTTCCAAAATGCAACATCTCACATTTATCTAAATTAAATTCCATCTACCACTCCTTGGCCCATTGGCCCATTTGAGCAAGATGTGAACAATTACACTGATGTAACCTTCTTCACTGTTATGATTAATTGTGATTTGGAAAAGTTGAGTGACTTAGCAAATGCATGGCAAATGAAGAATAACGTGGATAAATGTGAGGTTATCCACTTTAGTAGCGAAAACACAAAGGCAGATTATCATGTGAATGGTGGTAGGTTGGGGAAGGGGGAGGTGCAATGAAACCTAGTTGTCTTTGTACAGCTGCCACTCAAAGTAACCAAGCAAGTGCAGCAAGCAGTGAAGAAGGCAGATTGTATGTTGGCTTTCATAGCGAGAAATTTCAAGTAGAGAAGTAGGGACATCTTGTTGCAATTGTACAGGATCTTGCTGAGACCACATCTGGAGTATTGTGTGCAGTTATTATCTCCTTAACTGAGGAAGGATCTTCTGGTTATGGAGGGAGTGCAATGAAGGTTTGCCATATGATTCCTGGGATGACAGGAATGACATATGAACTAGATCAATTAGGATTATATTCACTGGATGAGGAGAGATCACATAGAAAGCTATGAAATTCTAACAGAACTAGACAGAATAAATGCAGGAAGGATGTCGCTGTTTTATATATTCTAATGTCTGCACTTCTTGTTTCTAAGCTTGATAATTGTAGGGATTTTTTGTGATATGAAGTGTGCAGTTTGTTATATTTTAATGTTTATTTAGAGTTTTGATTTTAGCTATTGGCACATGAGTTTGGTCTGTGCAGCTGAAGAGTTTTAGTGAGTAACCTGTAAGCATTTCCGTAGCCATGGTGATTTCTTTTGGAAAACAGTCTGCAAGAGATAGTTTGGGAAGTCAGTGGAAATTTGTTTACAGTGGAAGAGTTTAGAAATGAGAGAGGCAAGCAGTTTAGTACATTAGGTTATTTTATTGAAAATTCTGGATTTTTTTTAAGCTAAGGGGAAACATTCCTATCTTGGGGAGATAAAAACTGTTGGTTTTCAGTTTGGTAGGTTTGCAGAAGTCTTGGCTAAATTTGAATGTGTAACAGAATTGTTCCTGGTGAAAGCAGATGATTCAATACTGTTAAGAAACAGGTTACCTCAGTGTAGGCACTTTCCTTTTAAGCTTCCAGCCTAGAAGTGTAGGCCCAATAAATGTGAAAGATAAAGGAACTCTCTCTGGTGTGAGTAATGTTAAGGATTTTTTTTGGGGTTAATGAGATTATATTTTACCAGTTGCTTTGTATGTAAACAGTTTGGTTTATTCTACTTTATCTTCATTCATTTTGCATAATAAAATTCTGTTTTATTGTTAAAACTAAATCTCTAGCATTGTGTGTTTGTGTTTCAGTGAAAGACCACATTGTTGAATTTTAAAAAAAATCAAGCCAGAATCTAGTTTGAGATCTAACTTACCCAATAATAATATCAGCTGGGATCATGCCAGTTTCATTTCTAATGTGTGAAATGTATCATACAGATGTAAATTTAAATAGGAGATAGGGGTTTCTTCATACCTAACTGGGTGGCTGTATTGGTTCTAATTTTACAAAATTCCCTTGATTTAGCGAAGGCCCCATTAGATTGGAAGATAGTAAATCTAACTCCATTGTTCAAAAAGGGAGAGAGACATAAAGCAGAAAACTACAGGTCAGTTAGCTGAGCGTCTAGTATAGGGAAAATATTGGAAGCTATCATTAAAGAAGTTACAGCAGATACTTAGATAATTTCAAGGTAATCAAGTAGAATCATTATGGTTTGTGGAAGGGAAATCATGTTTGACCGATCTATTCCAGGAGCTAACACATGTTTTGGATTTAGGGGAACCAGTGATGTATCATACTTAGATTTCTAGAAGTCATTTGATGGGTTTAGTGGGAAATGGTTCATATTCTTGCAAATGGGACTAGATTAATTTAGGATATCTGGTCAGCATGGATTAGTCAGACTGAAGAGTCTGTTCCCGTGCTGAACAACTCAATGACTCTAAAGTGCCACATTCAAAGGCGATGTCAACAGTAAAAGCTCATGGTGTTGGCGGAACATACTAGATAGGGATAGAAAATTGGCTGACAGGAAACAG